AAAGAGAATCACTCAAACATGTCTTAAAGATACCTCCTGTTCAGCAGTGTGGTTCAGAGTCCGTTTGGCTGTTAGCTGCTGTTGTGGGGCGTACAGTTCAGTCAGCAAACAGCTCCTTAACCTGCGTAAGGACTCATGGACGTAGCGTCAGAATGCAATAGGTCTGGGCGAGGAGCTCTGACAAGGAAGGCTTTACCACAGTAGAAATAGAAATTCAGGTTCAGCTCAGTAATACTAGTGCTAATCAGAGTGCTGGTAATTAGCTCCTAGACAGCATTTGAGCTTTAAAAAGAAAAGTAGTAGCAGCACCTCTATTTCTACAGGTAGGAAAACTGAGGCACAGAAAGGCAGTGTGAGCAGCTTGTGCTCATCCAGCACCAGAGGCTGCACCAGCGTGGTAGTATTCTGAATCACAGTCCTGTGCAGATCATTAGTAGCAGTTAAGGTGACAGTAGAGAGGTTTTTTTTTGACCCAGGGAAGCTGTGGCTCTGGCTGGAAAGGGAATGCCACCGTCCCCCAGCTGCAGCCCAGCATGAACCTCTTTCCATCAGCCCTGACATCAGTAGTTAAGGTTCTTAGCTACTGATAACTTGGTGCTATGATTATTACCAGGAAGAAGATGCGGGGGGTATTTTAATCTTTAAATGTTGTATTGGTTGACTTGAGTAACAACACAACCATTTATTTTAAGAATGCAAGAAATTTTGGCATGTCATTAACGTGCCAGCTTATATGCCAGCTTGCAAATGCACCTTTGGCTGAGGAGTGCTTGGTTGCAGTGAGAACCTAGAACTTTGCATAAGCTTTTATTGAAGGTTTGTAGGTGACTGAAGTATCTGCTTTGTCTGGCAATCTTTAGACACTGCAGAATGTCACAATTCCACCTTCAGAAAACTGCACGTCTCCTGACCTTTGCTGGACCAAAGGAAATTTGACATGGACCATGAAGAATGTAACTGAAACAGAATATATCAGTAAATGTAAGTAGTAGAACTCCTTCTCCTTCAGTAATATCTTTACAAATGTATATGGTTTTCTAATGGTGTTAACAGACCCTTTCAGAGGTATATTGAGGCGCTCACCTGTACACGGACACAAGGTACTGCTGCAGGTGCAGAGCAGCCTGTGCTCTGCTATAGCTACACAGCTGGAGTTACCAGGATCATCATGGTATCTGGCTGCAGGTGGATCTCTTTCCATGCTCCCTGGTATCAGTAATTGAGGTCTTCAGTATCACGTCACCCTCGCTATTCAGGTGACTTGGAGCTACAGTTACTTTGCTGTAATGGTTGCTTGGGTATCTCCATCCCCACGCGTGCCCTTCAGGACTTTGAACAGCCCTCCTCAGGCGCGCAGCACCTCTGGGATGAGCCGACCCACCATCTAGCTCAGAGCATGCCAAAATTTCCTCACACCATTGTATTCCTCTCCCTTGCACATGGTCCCCCAGCTCCTGCCTGCCTCGCAGGGGTGCCCACCATGTATTTTATAAGCATGTCCATACAAGAGCCCCTCTTGCCCACCTCAGATGTGGTGTTTGTGGAGGAAGGGAGGTGGGGGTTTCACGCTCTGCATTCACCCCCTCAAGCTGTGTGTGCTTTGGTTCCATTTTTTTAGGGGCGTATATGAAAACCAGAGCTGGGCTTGGGATCAGAAGCAAAAATGTAGCTAGGCAAATTCATTTTCCTTTTCTTTTTCAGGCTGGCACCTCTTTGCAGACACAACCCTCCCTGATCTTGCCATCGGTCTCATCCTTCTGGCTTTGTCCCTGCTTGTTTTGTGCTCCTGTTTGGTGATGATAGTTAAGCTATTAAACTCTGTGCTTAAAGGACAAGTGGCGAGTGTTATCAAGAAGACAATCAACACTGGTAATTATCTGCTTTTCCTGAAGATTGTTTCCAGGAATGACAAGGACACTGAGCACATTTATTGATATCTCCTGTTCTGGCAGATATTATAGAATGGTTTAAAGAAAATAGTATTAAACCAAAATCGCAGTACCTCCCCCCTTCCTTTTTCTCCTCAGCATGTTATTTTCTTTCTTTTGAAAATCTATTAGTGAACAGCTTGCTTGTGAACTGCAGCAGATGAACAGCAACAGAGACCAAAGTCCAGGCTCTGTTTCTTGATGTATAATCATTAGCTGTTAGAAATGTAATGTTCCCGTTCTCAAAAGATAGCGCTGAAGTGCTGAGATCATGATTGCCTGCTCTGGCACAGAGCCTGCATGTTTCTTCTAAAGTTGAAAAGAAGTTCGTGATGACTAATGATCTAATTCCCTTTGTTTGCCCTGTTCCACTCCTTAACCCTCTCTTCAGTAGGATAAGGCAGCCCTGAACAGTGGTAGTTGCTGTCTTCCGCTGTCTTCTCCAGGTGCTTTTTCAGCCTGGATCCATTGAGCGCAAATGTTTTTATTTTTTACTTGGCTGCTCTTTTCTTCCCTTGGATAGAAAGGTTAGAACTTGTAGCAGAGAAAAGCAGTCCTGGCATGTATCTAGTTGTGGTTGAAGAGAAGTTTCACAGCAATAGGGAAGGCAACAAAGTGGTCCCTATGCTGTCTTCTCTTCTCCTGGGCAAAGAACACTGCCTGAATCAAAAATGAGGGGTAGAAAGTAATCAGCAGCCAGTTGCTGTTCATTTGTGATCTACTCTGTGTTCCTCTGTGTCTTTTTGACTAACTCCTGACTTTTTGGCTCACTCATAAAGCTGCAGAATACAGGGGACCACTGTGCCTGGTTTCTCTAATCAGCGGGATTAGCTTTTCATTGCAAGAGTTAACAAGTGAATTTTTAGGAGGTGATCTGCTTGAAACTAGTTAGAACAAACAACCTGATTTTCTCAGGATGGCCTTCAGAGCTTTCTGAATATCTGATCCATGCAGCAGGTACCTGGTTGCCAAAACCAAGGCACTGAAGACACTTAGAAGGTATTGTGTTGACCTCTGTGGAAACATTCCTGGTACCTAACTGTATTACAACAGAAATGCTACCTTTGGTCAGTACAAATGTCTACCTAGTCTAGTACCCATCTCAAAGTGTATCCAGTGGTGGAAGGCTGGAAAGGGAGTACAGCGAACAGGGTAAATTTGAGTAGTAGAGCTGACTCTGACCCAAAATCATAATGTAAGAGACAATATGCAAACAGTATATCTACAACTGAAATGTTTTATAGTCTTTTCACTGTTATGTTACTGTTACATAGAGCATTTGGTTACCCTAAAGACAATGTTCTCCCTCTGTTTTTTTAGATTTCCCATTTCCTTTTACTTGGCTAGCTGGATACCTGGCTATGCTTGCAGGGGCTGGTATGACCTTCGTTGTCCAAAGTAGTTCTGTTTTCACATCTGCCATTACACCCCTTGTTGGTAAGTTGTCAGTCTTTATCCCCATGTTTTATATTCTCCATCATTCTGAAACCACTCAACCCTGTTTCTTTTCTCCTAGGCATTGGCGTTATAAGCATTGAGCGCTCTTATCCCCTTACCTTAGGAGCTAACATTGGCACAACCACAACAGCTATACTTGCAGCTTTAGCAAGTCCAGGGAGTACATTAAAATATTCATTACAGGTCAGTATAAACTAATGCTTCCTTGATTTCATTTACAAGTTGCAACTTTTCTGAAGAAAAACCTGACAAAATTGGCTCTGATGCAAATATGCCATGGATGCCATGCTTGTTTTTGGGCTATTAATGGCAGATCATTAATTTAAACTACTAGAGCAAAGGCTTTTAATAAGCATTCTCAAAATGACGATGCATAGTAAAATCTTGCTTTCATAAACTGGGCTTATCTGATTGAATTAATCCAGAATTGAGACAGGGTTGCCCCCTTGACCCCCAAGTGTGGGGTCTCTGCAGCTTAGAATTCAGTGTCCACATCTCTGACAACCCTCTTAGGTAGTGCCCTATGAGGATTACTAGTTTCTGTAAGTTCCCTCCTCAGGACTCTAACTCAGTTCATGCAGTGTATAGAGACTCCTGTAACCTAAGTGAGGGCCGTACAACTTGTAAGATGGAACGCTGTCTACCTACCTGAGGTTGCAGTGAGCATCCTGACATCTATTTTCTCATTGTAAACCTAATCTGAGTGGGTTTTATTGAATTCCTTGTTGCTTCAGACTGTTTGAAAAGTAGGCAGCCTGGCTTTGGGCTCCCATTTACCACCTAGTAAAGAACATTCCAGACAGAAGATAACATTTGAATGAACCCTCTACATCAAAGAGTGAAAAGATAATGAATTTTCCTTTGTGAATAGGATGAATGTTTTTTACTAGCCACAATAAATTAAGAAAATTGCAGAAGTCATTTTATTGTCCTCCAGAATGATAGAACAGATGTAATCATGAGAAGATACTATCTTGACCAAGCTCAGATTTCGTGATAACTTGCAGTCTTTATAACATACTTTAAAAATAAACCCCTGTACTTTCATGTTTGCTTTAGTCTGATAACAGTTATAGAATGAAAATAAGATAAGGTGAGCAGGGAATGTACTGTTTTGTTCAGTATATGCTTATTCTATCTAAGTGACTTCTGAAAGCTTTAGCAAGTAGGTCTCTCTTCATGCTTATTTTTAAAAAAACAATTTTGAAGAATGTGAATAAAGTGATTATAAAAGACCCAAAGTGACATTCCAGGAATCTCCTCAGTGCTCTATAAACCTGTAGCTAATTTTTGGAAAATCCAGTTTCGTACCATTAGCAATTTCTCAATAGCCTGTATGCAGTATCTAATTTACACGTCTCATCTTTTAATCGAAAATCTATGGGTGAAGAACTCAATGATGAACAGTTCTCATGTGGCTCTCACGCCTTACGAACAACAGAACTGTTTCCCAATAGAGGTTTGGTCTGTTGTCTTTATTTCTGACGGCCTCCATTTCTTGCGGTTGAAAGCTGCATTTTGAGACTTCTCCATCTGCGGGGAGCTACGCTGTCCCCGTTAGGCTTGCCTCGTTTCCAAAGGCTGTCCCCTGTTTGTAGGCAGTGATCATCACAGTGTATGAGGTATTACCGAGTCCTTGCTTCATGCTAGGAAAGGCCTTGCAGTGAAACGGTGTGAAAGACAAGAAAAAACTGTGGGAAGCAAGGGAAGGGAAACTATGGAGTTTTAGTGCCACTGGAAATTATTATCATGTGAGTAGGAGCATTTAAAGGCATTTTAATTAACGAACTCCTCAAACGTTTTTGCTTTCAGATTGCCTTGTGCCACTTTTTCTTCAATATCTCTGGGATTATTCTGTTTTACCCGCTACCTGTTACCCGGCTGCCAATTCGCATGAGCAAGACCTTGGGAAACATAACAGCCAAGTACAGATGGTTTGCTATATTTTACCTTCTCGTCTGCTTCTTTCTTTTGCCTTTGTTTGTATTCGGTCTGTCACTGGCAGGCTGGCCAGTCCTTTTGGGTGTTTGCCTTCCCCTGTTTGCTCTTTTTATTGCTGTGATTGTAATTAATGTTATGCAGTCGAAGCGACCACATTCACTGCCTGAGAAGCTCCAAAATTGGGATTTCCTACCCATCTGGATGCACTCCCTAGAGCCCTGGGACAATATAATTATGTCCTCGCTCTCCTTTTGTGGGAAACACTGCTGTGGCTTCTGCAAGTGCTGTAAAGTCAACGCAGAACAGGAGGGTGCCAAAGACAAGCAGCTAAAAACTATGGAGGTTTACGAAAACACCATTGCGATGGCTGATGAAGAAAGAGGTGGAAGAAGGGCACCAGCCGCAGCTTGTGTTGAAAAAACAGGCACGAACAACACAGCCTTATAGTAGCGGATCAACCCATATTAGCTGAGATACAGCATAGGACAGTCAGGCTCTTGAAAACCACCTTGGACAATGGACTGAGGGTGAACGTTTTGTTAGGCTCCTGCAGCCAGTGATATATCACTCCTTAAGGAATGGAGTCAGACAAGCTTGACAAAGTCTCTAGAAAATCTATGATCAGTTGAAAACCTAATAACAGATCTGCTTACAGAGGATCTACTGTGCGGTACCTTCATCCAATGCTATCAGTAGCAAACAAAAGAAATCTTGGTGTAGTCTCACGAAGAGAGGCATGAAAGGAGTGGTGACCAATTCAAATTCAATTAAAAAACAAACAAACAAAAAATGCACTTGTAGAACACCCTTTCTGACCTACTGGCTTATTCAGCAGAAGTCACATTACAATATCTAAAAAGCTCTGGAAATGGGGGAAGAGAGATAATCCTAATGTTTTTGTTGACCTGTTTGCAGTGGTCGAAATGGAAGATAGTAGTTTTCCCAGTACGGAACAGATCTATTCTACGTGTGTGAAGGAAATCGAAATGCGGGGACACTCTTCAGAAGCTGGGAGTCCAGAAGCTAGGACTCCTTCTGGGAGTCCTATTCTGGCATAAGGGTGTGCACAAGCCCATTTTGAGCCCACTCTGTCTCCTTTAACACCGGGGACAGGAGTTACAATCTTCTGTTATCTCAAGCTAAAGGCCATAAAAGTAATTGCTGATCCCTCTGCCTGCTGAAGGGTTTGGAGACACCGGGTGGTTATGGAAGGGCTTGGTGGACTCAGGATGTGGTTGTGTGGCCATTCCTCTCTCTAGATGGTTCTCTCCAGTCTTGTTCACACCATGTAACCCCACAGTCAGAGGAATGGTGCAGGAGGGAGGACAAGTGGCCAGTGTAGGGGAGGAGACAGCTGCCCAAACCTGGGCTGGTGCCAGGAGGTCTGTGTGCAACCGTGGCTCAGCTCGGATGAGCCACAAAATGAGCTTTCAGAGTAGTGGTGGAGACTGGCTTTAGAGCTACAAGAGAGGGAACCTGGAGAGCAGGTTATGGCTAGCGCGGGAGGCAAAGCAGCGTTCACTGGCGAGAAAGGAGTGCTCGCTCTGCACCACCCCTTCGTGCTCCTAACCACCCTCCTTGGAAATAATGTGAATTTTACTGGCAATTGTATATAGCAATCGAAATCCCAAATAAAATCCGTAAGTAGTATAGTCACTACCATGTGTAGTCAACCCATAGGTAGCGTAGCACTTGGTGGGAAGCTGGTTGTGCTCCGACCTTACCGTTGCTGATGTTTTAGCAAATGCTTGTGAGGCTGCTCTGAATCAGGGGCTGACAAAAGGCATAATTTCAATGCCAGAAAAAGGGCATTTCAAAGATGCACTGAGTACTTCTGCTGGCCTTCAATACTATCAGTGAGTATGGGATAATATCTGAAGTCCAACCACTAGTGTTAAAAGAAAAATCAGGTGGCTGAGTGCAGGCCAAGTGTCATTTAAAGCCAGAAACCCAATTTAAAGCCAGTTTACATGGCTGAGTTGTAGATTAAATTTGTAATGGCAATGCTGAAAAGACCCTTAGTTTAACATAGCCGCTCAGTGCTGCTAGAACACATTGACTTCTGAAGAGCTGTTTGTTTTCTGAAGAGGTCTGGAATTCAGTAGGTTGAATTTGGCAATCAGGTAAATATGTACATTTTAGAAGTGAAAATTCTTTCCATTTACTTTTTTAAACTGACATTTAAATTGGCAAAGTATGTTGTCGAAAATGTCTTTGCAAATTTCATTCATACTGAGATTCCAACTGTTTCTGTAATTGTGAGCCAGTTATAGAACGAAAATAAGATAAGGTGAGCAGGGAATGTACTGTTTTGTTCAGTATATGCTTACTCTGTTTAAGTGACTCTGAAAGCTTCAGCAAGTAGGTGTCTCTTCACACTTATTTTTTAAAAAACAATTTTGAAGAATGTGAATCAAGTGATTATAAAAGACATATATATATAAAACTTTTTAATATATATATATAAAAGACTTATAAAATGCTTAGAATCAGAGTGAATTTCCAAAAGCTTCTCGTTTTAGTATAGTTCTGCTCTTTGTGGGTTTAGTAGCAGAAGTTTAGAGTTATGTAAAACTATTTTTTTAAAACTTGTATTCCTTGTCCTTCCTATAGTCGAAACAGAATTTTGTCAGCATGTCATTTTTAAAGTGGAACTTTGATATCTTCACTATTTCTTCTTTGTTTTATTCTCACAATTCTGGATGCTCCCAGAATCTGTTTCTTTAAATCCCAGCACGCATTTCCCATGCTCTGTTTCTTTGGGAAAAAGATGAGAAAAACATCCAGAATTCTTTCAAAGTTATCTCAAGTTTCCATTAACCACCCGCTGAAACAGGAAACATTTTAATCTACTTTTACTCATTTCTTAAACCATGTGCACCTTATTTTGCATCTTGAAGCAAAGCCATCAAGCACAGTGATAATAACTGTGGAAAAGCAGTTCTTTCTTACAAAAGGTAAAAGGGTAATAATTAATAGTCAGGCATATCAGTACTTTATGGTTCCTCACAGTAACATTTCCCCAATGATACATTCAGTTCTTTCCTTGCTGCAGGCCATATTGTGCCATTCATTGTTTTAGGCAGATTCCAACAACGATTTCTGTTTAACACTTGACAGCACAACATGTCCTGCCATATTTCCCCCCCCTTATCAAAAGATATTTACACTTTATTTATAATTATTTGAGTGTACAGAATTTTTCTTAAGTTATACAGAAAAAGGCTTGTGATTGTGTTATATACTACGTATTTGAAAACTATGCAATGTTTATCTATAAAAATGTAAAAAGGAACTACTGTATATTTTGTAATATAACTTTTCAAATTGTTTGTAACAGTGTATACTGTGTGTTATGGAGGCTGTTGGCTCCATCAGTAGGTTACATAAAGATTGTCAGCAATGCAGAGACAGATTTTTTAACGTAAAGATGAAAAACACCTACATGCTTTCATAATATGGCTTAATGCACAATGACATTGGACTCTACTTTTCTAAAAGATTTGAATTTTCTGTAATGAGGAATTTTGGAAATACAAAGTTTCTAAAATACTTTTTTAAATTCTTAAACACTGTGTCTTTTAACTGTTTTGAGGACAGTGTATGACTTTATACTTTGTCATGAATATTCGTCTGTCCTCGTGAATTGAATGTAAAAATAAAGAGAAGTTTTAAGAACATAACATCTTTTAATCATATCCTTTTATATACATATCATGTAAGCTTGCAGAAAAATAAGTATGCAGACAAGTTCTATTCTGACCTCATGCAATGTACAAGAAGTGAGGTTAGCATCAAGCACGAAAGAAAACCACCAGAAGCCTGCGTGCCCAACGTTTTCATATCAATGAGAGATTTTCATATGGAGAAAAATAAAAAGAATTGCTCAATGCGATGGTGTGGGTCAAGATATTTTCTGGCAGGGTTCTGCAGACTGTCCTCAGTGAAGGTAAGCATGGGAGAGCAAAGCCAGGGTTGTTGTAACAACAGGATGCGTGATGTTATACCGAAAGACCTGTGTCACTGTGCTAGGCTCAGATTTTCCTTTCTATGTGAAAGATAGTGCACGGGGTGTTTCCAAAATGCTCCTTATATCCCATGACCTGAGTGATGTCTGGCTTATAACTGGGAAAAAATAACCATCTCACTCTTTTTTTTTAAGCACACATGACCTATGGAGCTTAAAATTAAACAGAGAGAGAGAAATAAAAAGTACTCCTTAAATGCCTTAAAGATTATTTTAAAAGGTTTTTAGACTTCCTAACTATGAGTTCAACAGTAGCTGAGGAACCGGGTCTAAAACCAACTACCATTCCCAAATAACACCATATTTTAATGAAATGAAGATAGCAGAAGTATTTCTTATAACACAAATATTTATGCACTACAGTGTAAATTATTGTCTTCTAAAAATGCAATAAGCACCCTAGGCCCGTGATTTAAAACTTACAGCTTCTTACACCCATGCAGAAATACTGCGTGTCATCACCCACCATGACTCGCTGTCCATCAGGAGTCACCGCGCGTCCAGAAAACACGGCAGGTTGTGCCATCCATCTCTTCCATTTCCAAACCCTTTGCAGAGCTACCTCAAGCAAAGGTCAGCAATGCCTGTAGGTATGCAACAGCAGGTACGTCGTGAAGTGCCGCGCTGATCGGAAGCCTTCAAAAAGTTCAAAATAATGCTTCAGCTAATTGCCTAGTTGCTCCTGCGACCGGTCTCAGTCCTCTTCCTCTCTGCTTGTGACTTAACCGTGTTGTCCACAGCTCCTTCTGGGGTTCCTGAGCTTTTTTACCCTCCGCTGAAGGTTCACGTTTTCCCCCAGTTTCAAATTCTTGGTACCCCTGCATTTAACTGCACCAGGCCTACCACTGCGAAGAGTTCCCATCAGCCAGAAATGCAGGTTAAATGCTTCATCGTCTCTTTCTTCAGCTTACCACGCAGCGGTGGGCACCCGGTTGGGTCCCCAAGACAGCCGCTGGCCACGCCGCTGAGAAAGGCTGTTCTCTGATTTCAGGCTGATTATTTGTGGGTGCAGGCTGGTGTGGTACCATTGGCAGTAGCTTAACCAACACGCAACAGCACGGGGTCTGATCCGGTGAGTTAAAAATAAATAGTACGTAGCACTGAGCAGAAATCCACTGTTTTGAAAGCTGCGCGAGGGAGGATATACTCCATACCGACACCGGGAATGCCAGGCCACGCTTCAGTTGCGTGGTTTCAATAGGCTGTGCTTCCATGCAGGTGCTTTATCGGCATTTGGATGTTTCTTTCTCTAGCTGATGGCCGATCCTGGTGTTCCCACATGCCAAAGGCATGAGGCTGTTATGTGTAAACCCGCTCACGATATTTTTACAGTGAATCCTCGACAGATCTTAGTCCCTTTATTGCAATTCTACTACAAAGGAAACATGCGATTCGTACAAGAGCGCCGAGTGTTTACTTTGCATACGGGATAGTAATTATACTGATCTTCACTGAGCTGTCCCCTAAGCAGGTTTCCCCTGACAACTGAGATCCGAGTGTTTTAACAAGATGGAGAAACAGAGCGAAGGCTAGCATTAAAGTGTCACAAACATTCCATCTTACTCAGCACCT